CCCCGAGCCTCTGCCAGTGCATCCACTGTCGTGCCCGAGGTCCGACCCGCAGGAAGTCTGGGCGAGCGCGCCAAAGGCACATCGCCAAAGGAACGGTTGCCGCGCACGGACAGAGGTTCCGAGCCAAGGCCCGAGCTGCCAAGTCAAACCCGCCGCCGCACCGCCGGCGCGATGGCATGAAGAAGAAACATGTAGAGGACGCCGTCGCGGTAAAAGTGGAAGTAGACGTAGCCGCCGCGGAGACGAAACATGAAGAGATGAGAAGAGGTAGACGTAGCCGCCGCGGAGACGAGAAATGACCATTCAGACGACTTCGTTGCCTGAAGTCCTTTATCGGTCGCCTCGGCCACGCACAAGTTCGGACGTCGACCCGCACCAGGCTAAGGAGGTACATAGGAGTGAGAGTGTGACGTCAGCGAAGGAGGTGACGTCAGCGAAGGAGGTGACGTCATCAACTCGGTGCGAGAGTCCTATGGGCCCAAATATCGCAGTGTGCAGCCGTCGACTGAGACGCGCACATCTGCACAATCTGTTCTTCACAGCTCTGCACCGTCTACCGGTAATCGTCTCCCTTGTGCAACCCGGGCTAATTAATCGGGCTCATCGGGTCACCGTACGCTGCGCTGCGGGCTGTCCTGCAGTCTGAAATTAAGGGTCTTTGGGTGGCCAGCCAGCCAGCGCCCCATTCTAAAGCCTCCCAACATGGCGTCGTTTTGCCGTCGCGGCCGCTATTTCTCGCTCGTCGCCACGGGCCGGCCCACGTGGCCAGTAGCCGTCGCGAAGATGAGACATGAAGAGATGAGAAGAAGTAGATGTAGCTGCCGCGGAGTCGCGCGCCATGCCGTGCGGGTACGCGCAATCCACGGAGACGCACAACACCGAAGAGAAGAGAAGAGAAGAGAGGAGAGAGAAAGAGTAGAAAAGTAGCAGAGCCACCGCGGACACGCTCGCAAATGCCGCGAAAGCGCAAGCGGCACAGCGCAGGAGCACGACGCCGCGAAGGCGCGCACAGTCGCAGAAGTATGTGAGAACACATGGACTTAATGCCCCCCTCCCGGAAAGTAAGGAAATTTTTCCCCCGGCCGGAGAGGGGTAATATGTAGGGGAGCGGGAGCGTCCCAGCTTAGTCGCTATGATTGTGTCTTGTTAAAATTGTACGCGTGGGGTATTTAGGTAGGGGTTGGAAAGGAGGCAAGCGCGTCGGGAGCCGCACGGGCACATCGGCCGCCATCTTGGGCCTCGAGGCGGCTGATGTGGGCGTGGCATACTCGGGCGAGGGACGAGACGAAAGCAGGGGAGAGGAGATCGGGGTTCTTGGTGTCTGGCTGCCGTCCGGCACGGACATCGAGCCCCCGACTGCTCTCTGCTGCTGGCTCACCTGGCTCGAGGTAGGTTCCTGTCACGCAGGGATTGTAGCTGGGCTCAAAGCACATCCCTTAGTTGGGATAGGAGCACCGGGGTGGAGGTTCGTAGGTAGCTTCGCGCGTCGGAAACCGTTAGGGTCGTGTTAGGGTAGAAATTTGCGGTGTTTGGAAAGTCATCGTCGTTTCGGAATGTTAACTCACGCAGTCCTTTATACCTATCGTTCGGCCATTTACAATAAATGGGGTTTGAATTGACCAGATGCCTTTGGAGACGGGTTGGGTCGGAGAAGAACGGACGTTGAGCGGAGTCTGATTCATTCGGTACTGTAGTTTAGTCGTCAGGCTCAGGAGCTTATCTCCAAACCCACGAGGGTACACTTCCAACCGCGTGTGCCCCAAAATGGCGGAGTTATTCACCTGAACCACGATGCATAGTTTAGTTCAATTAGTGTAGATGACAGTGGCCCGGATGGCAGTCCGGGTAAAGGCTGGCGACGTCCCGGCTCCGACAGCCCCCCCCCCCCATTACACAATGCCAGTGAGGTAAGGTCACAACAGCAATAAGACTCTCCCATGTGGCACCACGTGTGCTTCGGCAGAGTGACTGCATCCCGACTGTATGAGGTGGCACAGTGCCGTACTGCAAATGGTTCCCTTGTGGAGTCCATCTGATGTGCAACCAAGTTCAAGGGCACAGCTGCAACAAAGAGGGGCAATACCCTTGAGGCAAGAGTTATTGCAGGTGTAGCAACAAACCCACCTTGGTTAGAAGTGTTCAGGTGCTGGACTGTTCCTGAAAAAGGAGTGGGCTATCTTTGGTGCCATCCCTGATGCAGTGATTCGGGACAGTGATGGTGGAGTCAGGGCGGTATTTGAGATGAAGTGTCCTGCATCACAGTCCACAGTTGGCAACTATATCAAGTCAGGAACCATAGATCTCCCAAAGTCCGGGCGCAGCTGCAGCTCCAGATGCTGCTGGCTGACTGCTGTGTGGGATTCTTGGGAGCATGAATATTGAATACCTATTCATATCGGCAGGTCCGCCGTAAAGGTACGGGTGCGCCGAGAATGGTGCCTCACCGCCAGACCACTCCGTCCTCAGATTACCCGTTTCGCAAACCGTGCTGTTTCCTCACACAACGTAAGGCCATGGAATTTCAGGGTATCACCATCATCGATTCAGGACGCATCCATTTGAGGAGCAGCTCACGATCTGAGCCACAGCGCCGTTTGTCCAGCCAGACTCCAATAAAACATTACATCGCTTCAGCGTTACAGCGTGAGATGCATCACCGCCTTAAAGTACACGTTTAAGAAACAGCTCACGGTCAGAGCCAAACATCCAGCTGCCATAGTGTCGTAAACAGCGTCGTGCATCATCGCCTTTAAGTGCACATGCAAGAAACAGCTCACGGGCCAAAAAACTAGCGAACCACTGCGATGGTTTCGTAGAAAGCGTAGCTCAGGGTCAACCAATGGACAACTGTGCAGCGCCCCGCTGATGACAACTCTCTGCCCTCAGAGTGACACAACGAGTGACTAAAGGACGTCATCTGGCGTTTCGGAGCGGAAGGTGCGCCGCCATCGTTGCACCTGACTCTTCGAGGCGGTAAACAACGGCCGCCCGCCGCCAGACGCCGCCGTCGTCATCAAAGAACGTACGTCGGTGTCTGTCACGATCCAATACGACCGACTGCGGCCGCGTGGCCGTCACGCGGCCTGGTGATCGCGCCTCCAAGCGCTAGCGGCAAGAAAGGGCGGAAGGACAATTGAGGGGCGACGGGGATGGTGGCCGAGATAATTCGATAAAGTCATTGTCGAAATTAAACTATGCAACCGTACTAGTTCGGATCATGCAAACCGTTTCCAAAATGTGCACTGACTGTACTCTGCTGACTGTGCTCTATCACGGTTGTAGTGCCACTTATGGTATATCCGACCGTAATAGGGCGACCGACACAGGGCCGATCGCCAGGTCTAGCACGACATGGGTAAAAAAATCGAACTTTGTGGATGTGCAATAAAACCTATACCAATTTGTTCAAAAATGATCATACTACAATGCTGTGGTCTTTGTTTTCCAACACAATTGCTATTTCATGGCGAAAACTCAGCTTAAACAAGAACTTCGGAATCGTTTGGACCGAACTCGTCCCCCGCACTCTTCAACAGCGTATCTTTGATCCACGAAAACAATCACAATTTGAGGAGGAATTCCACATTTATATACATCAAACGATAGCTCCGGGTCTGCAGAACACACATAACCACATGAAAATGGCGAACTCTTACTTGGTTATGATGTATTTGTACCACAAAGATTTAAAGACGAAAATATAATTTCACATAATTGATGTCACACACAAATAGACGTTTAAAAAAAGTACCGCAATGTACCGCTTCGAAAATCTCGCTACATGTCAATGAGTCATTGCACTACAAGATCCAACAGTCATTTCTTGCGACTTTTTGCGACTTTGGATGTAGCAGCCAAACATCAACCCGCGCCTGACCGGTGCTCGGGGTCAAACGCGCCGGGCCGGGAGGTGTTGATTGAACACTCCCCTTCTAACTCGGCTCCTGGGCCACATAGCGACACGTTGTAAGTGGCATTCGAAAGAGCGCTCCAAATTCCAGATAGAGTAATTAGTCATTTCTAGGTCAGGTCAAAGGTCACGTCACCAGAGGTCATCAAAGGTAAAATGTTGCATATAACAACATTTCTCGAAACACCAGCCCGTACCTCGGGGACCAATAGAGCTACATCGTCGCGGAAAAGTGCATTCAATTGCTCTTTTACCGGTCTTTCTGAAATAAGCCCTCAGTTTTGGCTTAACCCTCGCCCCTAGTGGTGTTTTTCCAGCCGCAAACGTATAGAAGAGGTCCGTTGAACCCCCCTGCCGTTTCGCCCCTGGTCGAGCTAGAGCTTCGCGGAAAAGACGAGCGTGTTGCCCGTGACAAGAGGAAACTGATGATACCCATTTGTAAGGTCCTAGCTCATCGGTTGATCTTCCAGGTCAGGTCAATGACCCAAAAGTCGGGAAAATCGGGACCTGTTAGAACGTCGTAAAGGGTGGCTGCTATGTTTTTTTTTTTTTGGTGCTGATCACGAATATAATGTTATTTATGATCATATATAATGTCTTCATACATTTAGGCCAGGTCGGGTCAGGTCAGGTCAGGTCAACCAGTAAGGGTTTTGCCGGGTATTTGTAGTAGGTGGCAACCGCCTCTGACAGCTTCGTAACATGTTACGAAGGCACCAAAGCTACATAGTAAATGTTCAAATGGTTGCTAGATTCGAATTCAGCTCCAAAAACTAGCCTAGAAACATGTAAAACTCGAGAAATTGAACCAAGGTCATCAAAGGTCAATGACCTTACCTGACCTTCCGGCGACCTTGACACCCACCCTAATGCATGAGAGCAGCATAATACCCCATGCTTGAACGCTTTAAACCACGAAAAGACTGCAAACTCGCGGCTAATGCGAGCCGACATACGCTGAATCGATTCCGGCCAAACATGATCTCGAAAGAAGGTCACAGGTCAAAGATCATTAAGGTCAGGGTCATGAAATTTTCAGGTTATACTCTGTTCCGTTTCAAGTTTGCAGCCGAAGTGCCTTGCTGAAGGCAGTGCGTGATTTCTGTATATACAGCTCTTGCATTTTTAAGGCCGTTGTACACGGGCAACTTCCGCCGGCAACTCTCAGCAATCGGTTGCTCGGCGACTCTGGGCAACCGATCGCCGGGCAACCGGTGGCAGCACGCGAGCAACTCCTAGCAACACCGATGAATTTGCTTTCACATTGCTGACGTCATAATTACGTCACGCCGAGGAACTGGGCGACTCTCGACAACCGGCATTCCAGCCCACCGGCAACCGGACGCAGATGTGTTTTGAGGTTTGTGGCGTTTGAGTTTTCGCGAGTTTTCTGCATATTATATATTATCGATATGTATTAATGATAGCTTGCCTGTGCCATCGTTCGCTAGTGATGCCACTATCTTTTTAACGCCAAAACGTGGTATTAAAGGTTAAAACAAATATCAAAGGTTGGAGTACGCCATTGTATGTTGTTTTATCTGTGGTGCATAAGCGTAACTTTATATCTCTTTGTGGGTGCTCAAGCACCCCCAATCCTGAGCTCAGCACCCCCTGCCTTCTTAAAGCACCCCCAGCCTCCTCAAAACATTCCCAGCTGACTCAAGGCCCTCAATAATCATAATGTCCATCTCCTAGTACCGTAATGAGCCCAGTGAATCATGCAAATACTATGCTTACTCAATTCAGTGACTAAGAGAATATACATTGAATAAATCACCACAAAGTAAGATACATGACATTTGAGTTAACATTACATCTGATATTATCAGGGGCCGGGGAACGATTTTCAAGTTTGGGGGGGGGGGCGAGCCTAAAATACCTGACATGATGCATATGAAACAGTGGCATAGCTAGGGGTCTAAGGGGACACGTACCCCCTCCCCCCCCCCCCATCGAGTTCAAAGGGAGCCTCGGGTCCGAGAGGCCCTGCGGCGCCATTTGACCGCTGATGGTTAACAATGGCTATATTTCTACTCAGAAGGGCCCCGTGGGGCTCGTTAGAGCACCTCATGGGCCCTAAATAGCCATACTAAGGTCTCCATAAGGGCCCCACGCCGACTTCTGAGGGCCTCTCGCGGCTTTTAAGGACACCTCGGTGGTCTCCAAAGGCCCGTTAAACCTGAAGCAGACTCTTTACGCAGTCAGGAAATCGCATGCGAGAGCCTATTCAAATACATGGAAGCACGCTCGCATCAATCGCACGCACCTCCCGCGAGCGGTTGATGCGAGAGGAATTACAGTGTATTTGAATAGGCTCTCGCATGCGATTTCCTGAACGCAGAAAGAGTCTGCTTCAGCCTTTACTGGCCTCTGAGAGGTCTTACCGGCCTATGAGGGGACAGTTCTAGGGGCATTTCCTTTCCCACCTGTGATAGTCCCACACTTATTTTTCTGAGGGCCCCATAACGGCAACTGTGGGGCCCTCATCGGTGCCTATGAGGGCCCACACCGGTGTCTCTGAGGGTTTCACACCCCCAAACTCTGAGTGTCTACACCAGTGCCTATTAAAGCCCTATATCGGCGGCTCTGAGGACCCACCCAACACCTGTGCATCTAAAGGCCACCCACTGATGACTTGAGGGCCCCACAACGGTGACCCTGAGGGCCCTACCGGCGTCTGACAGTACCATGCCGGTCTCTTAGGACCCCGCAGGACTTCTTCTGCCGGGCTAAGCCCTAAGGACCCCTTGCCGGTCACTGAGACCCCCTGCCGACTTGTAGGGAGTTCGCGTCAGCAGCTCTAAAGGCCCCACACCCGTCTGTAACGGCTCTACACCAGCGTCTATGAGGGCCCGGAGCAACGCCTGTAAGGACCCTCATCGGCGCCTCTGAGAGAATCACACTAGCACCTCGAAGCGCCAGTGGCGGCGGAAGCAGGGGGGCAAGGGGGGCAGCTGCACCCTAAAGCTATGGAAAGGGGCGCCTCGAAAATCTGTAGAGGAGGCGGGAAGTTAAGAGGTGCGGCAGCCATAAAGCTGAGCAGTGCGACACCGCAACTGATAAAGGCACTTGTGACACGAAGAGGGTGGCAATGACGTGGGAAAAGTATCTTTTGGTATGCTGAAGAGTGGAGGGCATCCTTATCTGAAACAAAGGCAGATGCTGCCAACCCTGTCGAAATATAATCTTGCCAGGCGATAAAGGCTAGGAGGGCGCAGCCACTCGAGAAGCGCGCCATGCGGAAGAGGGGCGCCTGCATGCGAAAGAGGGGCGCCTGTGTGTGGGACGAAAAAGAAACATTTATGGAGACATCTTTGAAGGCGATAGCCTCCGAACGCCAGCACGAACATATGAGGGCTTATAGCGTTGCAGGCTCCATGCGACAAAAAGGGGCGCCTGATGGCCGATATGCGAGAGGAAATTAGTTTGTGTAACATTTATCGGGGGCGGTTTGCCGTTTGCAACATATGAATGTTAATTAAGGGAGGTCCGAGATTGGGGCCTGTAAAATTGCACTGTCCGTATGGGCGGTTACACCCCTAGTGCTAGGGCGTATTTTGCGTTTTTTTACTGGGGAGATGATTATGAGTCTATGACCAGGAATAGCACTCTGCAAACTTCTATGGGCGCCTGTATAGGGGCGAAACTGATTTTCCAGTGCAGGGACGGCCATCGGCATTGTGGGGCGGCATTCATTCCACTGGGGCGTCTGCCAGTGTTGAAGGGCGGTATTCATTTCAATGAATACCGCCCTATATGGTAAGGGGCGCCTATGGTAAGGGGCGTATATGGTAAGGGGCGCCCAGCGGGAAGGGGCGCTTCAATATCGTTTGCACCCCTATCCTAGAATACCTTCCGCCGCCACTGCGAAGCGCCCACACCGGCACCCGCATGACGGCCCCACACCAGTGCCTCCCTTACCGGCGGCTCTGAGGGCCCTACGCCAGTGATTCTGAGGGTGCCACCGATAACTGAAGGCACCACACAAGCCCTTAGTGTAGCTGAGCTTTAATCCCATACCGGCCCTCCGAGGGCGCCACGTCAGTGCACTCATTGCCCCACATCCCTCCCTCACACCCGGAGCGGGTAAACTGTGTTATACCTATAGCAACGATTTTACCACCGTTGTACGTTATGTATTTCTCAAAGTTGACTCAAAATGGTCCAGTACAAAATCTGGCCTCCCAAACTTATGGCCAAGGTCGGGCCCAAACACGTTTTGGGCAATCAGTCTCAGTCCATGACTCCATTCTTCGACAACTATACGGTGCAAGACCGATACTGTAGAAACTTGCAATTTGCACCTTTGACCTGACCTTGACCTTGACCTCAAACTTTAAATTAAGTACATGTTTTTACTTATTCGTGATGAGATCTTTCGATTGGCGTTTGAATTTTCCAAATCGGACCATTAGTTCGGGAGATAACAGGGGGTAAAATTTATCCCCCCCAGCCCCGCGCGTTCGGCTGGAGACCCCAGCCCCGCGCGGGTTAATGCATTGGGTGAGCCAAAATTGTTTTACAGTGGCGCTATAAAAACAAGCTCTCGAACCGATTTAACCCGCGACCTGGTGGGGGGGGGGGGGGGGCTATTTTTTGCCCCCCCTCCAGACTTTTCTATATATCTCCAGAACCGCTGCGCCGATCGTCACCAAACTTTCAGTACCCTCCCGGACATCAATTTTACACATTGTGACCAAAATTTTTTCCAAAGGCTATGATAGGTTGGCCGGAAATGACGTCAGAGTGACGTCATGTTCTGCCGTTTTCGACCCAAAAAAGGGTTTCTCGGGAAGAGCTGTCAGGCCTATAGCTTTGCAAATACAGAAAAATGATAAAGACATAGAAGCTGTAGAATCGACAGGGCTACAAAACTGCTATCTCGGATTTTTAAAATTTTTGGATTTTGATCCCCAAAAATCAAAGAATAGATTTTTTGGATATAATAGTCGACAAATCCAAAAAGTTTTTTGAATTTCGCAAAAACCGGAATATATGTGATAGTCCTTACCACCTTCCATCCGCATACCAAATTTGAGATTGATACCTCTTTTTTTGGCGAAGTTATAGCGAAAAAACTGTTCAAAATTGATGACGTCAAATTTTCAAACTCAATTTTTAGCAATTCTAGACCCCGTAGCGCAAAACAAAGACCACCATTAGACTCCCCGTGACGAGCTGCATCGAATCAATACCCATTATATGCAAAACTATGAACTTTCAAATTTGACCTTTTTTGACCTGACCTTGACCTGACCTCCACCAGAAAGTGACCTAAACCGTACCTGATAGTCTTATAACCAACACCATTGAGTTGGAAATGAAAAATTGTCCATAAAACATGCATCACACAACCATAGTAAAGTTGGGTTCATGTGACCTGACCTGTGACCCTTGGTGACCTGACCTGTGACCTGACCTGGTATTGTCAGTGACCTCTAATAGCAGCATATCTACTAGGCAACTGACGCCCTATCGCTGATTCTCGACAAAATGCGTTTTCCTTGGTGTTATAGCGCATTCCCTAGAAGACCCGTGAACGGTGAAACATTTCATCTTTGACCTGACCTGTGACGTCATCGGTGACCCCGAGGTCAATGAAATTTGGTTTCCTTCGACAAATTTGACAGGCCTTTCGATCGCCGTTTAAATTTTGCGGATCCGTCCAGTAGTTTCGGAGATACGAGGGGGGGCAAAAAATAGCCCCCCCCCCACCAGGTCGCGTTATAAACAGACCCCACCAGGGCGCGGGTTAACATCATTTCTTGCATGATGCCTGATGGCTACAGTAAAAAAGAACAGCTAAAAAACTACAAAAACTATGGCGTGCCTTTCTGAAAGCTATTGAGCACCCCCAATGATTTTTGGAAAACTACACCCATGCTGTGGTGGGTTGATAATTATTACTAAAATGATATTTAGTCCAAAGCTATTGCTTTATTGAATGGGTGCTTTCAGGGGTCATACAGCTCCCTTCATTGGCCTTGGCTAATGTAGATACGTAAGAACAGTTGATGCACAATCATTTCCAACAGATGTTAAACCACATTGACATGGTAGACATGGAACAAAGTCAAAGATGAACATATTTCTGCAAATTTACTGTCATTGTCATGTCTGATTAAAACATGATATGATATTGTTATCTTGTTACCATGTATTGTTTTTAGATGATCAAGATATTGTTAATTTAAACCAGATAAGGATATTACTATGCAATACTGTTGTCATATTTTGTTTTTCTGATTGATCTTCTGATCTTTTTATCTTGGCATATCTTGTTTTTATTTAGAGATGCTGATGACGCCATGGTGATATATTTACGAAAACATGTTCATCTTTGATTTTGTTCCGTGTTTTATAGATATACGTATAGCATTGCGGACTGTGGGTAAACAGTCTATTCAGTGTCCACATCTCATTCTACATACATCACTGGATAATTTGGAAAAGAGTGGATAGCACTTAAGTTTTCATGAACTTATCCAGTCTGTTCTTGAAAGACAGTGGACTGTGCCTCAACTATGTCTGCAGGGGGCTTGTTCCACGCCTTTACCAGCCTTTGTGAGAAAAACTGTTTTTTGTGCCTTTAACCTGCAGCTTGCTTTGGTGTCCTCTTCTTGCAGTGTCTTGACTTCTGACAAAAAAACTGACTTGGTTCTACATCCAGCTTCCCTGACAGCAGCTCTAAAGTTTCAATCAGGTCGCCTCGCTGCATGCTCTCCTTCACACTCAGCAGTCCAAGAGTGTTCAGTCTCTCCTCATAGCTCACCTGCTTCTTGCCTTGAACCAACTTTGTTGCCCTGCGTTGCACTGTTTCCAGCACCCTAACGTCCTTTGTGTATAGAGCCATGGCTTGGAGACAATGTTCCTTCCTATTGTTTTGCATTTGTAGATTTGTAGATAAGCAATTATTCAATGGATACTTTTTGCACTGGCATCTTTCCAACTCATGAATAACCTTGTCAGCCTCATCCACTACAGCAGTCAGTGGGCAAATGGTAGGAATTGGCTCTTGGGGTGGTAAAGGGTAGGAAAAACTGCATCAGAAGGTGCACCCGTTTTACAAACTGGAGCAGATCAGACATGGTTGGCTTTACATCATTTTACACAAGGATAAAATCACATTGTCAAAGAGTTAAACTGCAGCTATGCATGTGATTGCATTTCTTTGGATTTCATATTTGATATGAATGTGTTAACTTATGATAGCACAATTCTGAAATTAAGAAAAAATCAAAATCCACCTCATCCAAACACATCCAAACATTATGATCACCTTGCAAGTATGAGCATGCCCTTTTGTCCATTGCGTGTCTAATAGTTGCTGTCTGCTTTCAGCCATGGACGGAGATAACGATGCCATTGAAGCTCGTCTGCAGCGCATCAGGATTCTGCGGCTTATCAAGCTCCGTCAGCGCAGAAGACGCCGCATGTGGGTGCGGCCGGTGCTGGCTGCTCGCGACGAGCTCGGGGAGTTCAGCCACCTCGTCAGCCAGCTGCGCAGTGACCCAGCTGCCCACCAGCAGTACCTGCGCCTGACGCCAGCCGAGTTTGATTATCTGCTGGGCCTCGTGCGGGACGACATCGCTAAAGAAGTCACCAACATGCGACGTCCCATCCCACCTGACGAGCGACTGGCCCTAACCTTGCGGTAAGCAATTTTGCTGTTTCAGGCTGATTTGTCGTACCAAAAATGGTCATTTGCATATTTAATGCTTCATTTAAAGTGTTCCATGGCGAGGACTTGAAGCAGGTCATTATTTTTTTTTTCACCGTGAGGCCCACCGCCTGCCGGGTTAAGGTCAACTACTGACACCTGTCAAAGTGTCAAGCCCTGAACCGAACCAGGTAATGGTGGGACGTTTGTTGCCGATCAAACTAGAAACGGCTGACTGTTGAGCTACCTATTCCTGTCGTTGCAGATACCTGGCAGCTGGAGGCGCCATGAAAACGATTGCGGAGTCGTACCGCATCGCCCCACGCACAGCGACAGGGATAATATATGAGGTGTGCGAGGCCATATACCAACGGCTCGCCCCTCTCTGCCTGCGCTCCCCGACGCTGAACGACTGGCATGCATCAGCTGACGACTTCTTGGAATTGTGGCAACTGCCAAACTGCATCGGGGCGCTCGATGGCAAGCATGTTGCCTTGCAGAAACCAGCTGGCACCGGTTCAATCTACTTCAACTATAAGGGCTTTTGCAGCGTCGTTCTCATGGCCGTAGCTGACGCCAGATACAGGTGAGCCCGACAGAAGGCTAGCATCTCGAAGTGGATTATTTTACCTCGTATTATTTTACTTAATGTCGCATTGTCATCATCCTTACATCTGAAATTCGACTAAGGACGAAAACCGTACTTGTTGCCTTGTAAACCTCACGTAACCTTGTCGCAATGTTTCCGAGATTTTGTGGGAATGCTTTTTTGAATAAGTTTCCGAGATTTTGTGGGAATGCTTGTTTGAATAAGTTTATGAGATTTTGTGGGAATGCTTGTCGGTGACATCCGCCCCCTCGCCCGTTGGACTTTTGAGTCTGACCCTGTCTAACGACCACCCGGTCGATCATGTCAAACTAATTGCATGTATTGGCATTGTTGCCTCTACCCATCTCTACCCATCTAAGACGCAAATTCGAGCGGGGGAGCGATCTGCCGAAGAAACTCCGACTGCAAGCTTGATGTGGAACAGAGTATAGCTCTGAAATAAATTATCGCGAGGGTACTGAAAGTTTCGTTGCGATCGGCCGCTTTTTACACGAATTATTCGCGAAAAACCGAGAGTTCCGTTCGAAGATTCAGGCCCTGTCGCGCTAGAATGGCATATCGGCCCACTGTGCGTCGGCGGCCGGGTGGCGGGCAATCGCCCAACACCTTGCCGCTCTCACCACCGCTACGGCCTACTCTTTTTAGCCATTGGAGCAGCAGAGGTGCGGTGGTGTAGTGATAAAGTCAACGGCATTGGAATACGAAGGTACGCGGTTCGATTTTCGCTGGGCAAAACGTTTTTCATGTCCCTCCACGCTGCCCCATTCTCGTTAGCATACAGCAGGTAATGACGCACATATATGTTTGTCAGCTGACCCCGTTTTTGCTTTTCTGTTTCATGGAGCTGACAACATGCCAAAGGCTCGGTCGCAGAGCGGGGGCAGACGAAGGACTACCCCGGCCGGAACGCGCACTACGCCGGCGCCGCGCAGCGCCTCAACCACAAGGACCGCCAGCGCCGCCACTAATGCCGCCGCTGCCGCTTCCACACCCACCGCGCAGCAAATCCGTGCCATGGTGGCGGAGGCGGTGCGCGAGGCGATGCTGGCGGCCGCCGAGCCGGGGCTTGCCGCTGCGGAGTCGGCGCCCGCGCCTGCAGCAGAGGTGGTAGAAATCGCGCAACGCGACCCCGCGGCACTGCCGCAGTTGCTTCCAGGCTCAGCGTCCGGGAGCGAAGGTACGCCGCCGACAGCGCAACGGTTGGGGGACATGGTATCCATCCCTACATCTGACACGGTAACGGGGCGATCCGACAGCGGATCGTCGAAGACCGTTACATCTCCCAGCTGGGCATGTTGCTGGACGGTCCCGAGCGGAATCAGGACGAGGGTGTCCCATCCTTCCAGCTTATTGATGGCCTCCTGCGTCCGCAGCTCGGGCACCACGGGCCATAAACGGCTTCGGTGCATGGTGCATGGCATTTCTGCGTTTTGCCTGTGTCTATCTGGAAATGCACCCGTGCGCCGCGGCCGGATTGATGGATCACATGCGCCAGGTCAGTCAGCTGACAGCGCCAGGACTCGGAGTTGCATGGCGCAAATTTGACGAGGCCTTCCGCAAGGCACGGGAGACGGCCCCCGACCGGCATTCATGGGGCGGAACGGCTGCCTCCTCGCCGTTGTGGCTGCAGGCCGTAGCCAAAGGCATTGGAGGCGCCCCACGACCACAATCCTCCCCTGTGCGCCCAGGGGCCAATGTTCCCTCTCGCATCTGCTTTGCATACAACCAACAGCAAGGGTGCGTGGTGCGCTTCTGCCGATACCTGCACGCCTGCCGCCACTGTCGCGGACCCCACCCCGTCCACCGGTGCGCAGCCCGACTTGCCCGGCAGCGTACGGGTGCTCTCCCTGCCCGTGCCACCCCAGTGGGCCCCACCCGCTGAAAGCCGCTTGGTTCCCGAAAGCTGTTCGGCCCGACCTGTTAGCCTAGCCGATGTCGTCATTCACCGGCCGATCCGCGAAGACAGTACGACACCGCGCCGAGCCTCAGCCGGAGCACAGCACCAGCTGCCGAGGCGAAAACCGCTGCCGCGCCACCAAAAGCAGCGGCCGCGCGGAAGGTACAGGTGTACGACGCCGAACCTCAGCCGGAGCACAGCACCAATGGCCGAGCCGGAGACCAGCTGCCGAGCCGGAAACAGCTACCACGAACAACGCAGCCCCGAACCTCTGCCAGTGCCTCCACTGTCGTGCCCGAGGTCCGACCCGCAGGAAGTCTGGGCGAGCGCGCCAAAGGCACATCGCCGGAGGAACGGTTGCTACGCACGGACAGAGGTTCCGAGCCAAGGCCCGAGCTGCCAAGTCGAACCCGCCGCCGCACCGCCGGCGCGATGGCATGAAAAAGAAACATGTAGAGGACGCCGTCGCGGTAAAAGTGGAAGTAGACGTAGCCGCCGCGGAGACGAAACATGAAGAGATGAGAAGAGGTAGACGTAGCCGTCGCGGAGACGAGAAATGACAATTCAGACGACTTCGTTGTCTGAAGTCCTTTATCGGTCGCCACGACCACGCACAAGTTCGGTCGTCGACCCGCACCAGGCTAAGGAGGTACATAGGAGTGAGAGTGTGACGTCAGCGAAGGAGGTGACATCATCAACTCGGTGCGAGAGTTCTATGGGCCCAAATATCACAGTGTGCAGCCGTCGACTGAGACGCGCACACCTGCACAATCTGTTCTTCACAGCTCTGCACCGTCTACCGGCAATCGTCTCCCTTGTGCAACCCGGGCTAATTAATCGGGCTCATCGGGTCACCGTACGCTGCACTGCGCGCTGTCCTGCAGTCTGAAATGAAGGGTCTTTGGGCGGCCAGCCAGCCAGCGCCCCATTCTAAAGCCTCCCAACATGGCGTCGGTGTTGCCGTCGCGACCGCTATTTCTCGCTCGTCGCCACGGGCCGGCCCACGTGGCCAGTAGCCGTCGCGAAGATGAGACATGAAGAGATGAGAAGAAGTACATGTAGCTGCCGCGGAGTCGCGCGCCATGCCGTAGGGGTACGCGCAATCCACGGAGACGCACAACGCCGAAGAGAAGAGAAGAGAAGAGAGGAGAGAGAAAGAGTAGAAAAGTAGCAGAGCCACCGCGGACACGCTCGCAAATGCCGCGAAAGCGCAAGCGGCACAGCGGAGGAGCACGACGCCGCGAAGGCGCGCACAGTCGCAGAAGTATGCGAGAACACATGGACTTAATGCCCCTCTCCCGGAAAGTAAGGGAATTTTTCCCCCGCCCGGAGAGAGGGGTAATACGTAGGGGAGCGGGAGCGTCCCGCTGAGGGAGCGGTCGTCCCAGCTTAGTCGCTATGATTGCGTTAGTAAGTCTTGTTAAAATTGTACGCGTGGGGTATTTAGTCAGGGGTTGGAAAGGAGGCAAACGCGGTGGGAGCCGCACGGGCACATCAGCCGCCGTCTTGGGCCTCGAGGCGGCTGATGTGGGCGTGGCATACTCGGGCGAGGGACGAGACGAAAGCAGGGGAGAGGAGATCGGGGCTCTTGGTGTCTGGCTGCCGTCCGGTACGGACATCGAGCCCCCGACTGCTCTCTGCTGCTGGCTTACCTGGCTCGAGGTAGGTTCCTGTCACGCAGGGATTGTAGCTGGGCTCACAGCACATCCCTTAGTTAGGATAGGAGCACCGGGGTGGAGGTTCGTATGTAGTTTCGCGCGTCGGAAACCGTTAGGGTCGTGTTAGGGTAGAAATTTGCGGTGTTTGGAAAGTCATCGTCGTTTCGGAATGTTAACTCACGCAGTCCTTTATACCTATCGTTCCGCCATTTACAATAAATGGGGTTTGAATTGACCAGATGCCTTTGGAGACGGGTTGAGTCGGAGGAGAACGGAGGTTGAGCGGGGTCTGATTCATTCGGTACTGTAGTTTAGTCGTCAGGCTCAGGAGCTTAGCTCCAAACCCACGAGGGAACACTTCCAACCGCGTGTGCCCCAAAATGGCGGAGTTATTCACCTGAACCACGATGCATAGTTTAGTTCAATAAGTGTAGATGACAGTGGCCCGGGTGGCAGTCGGGGTAAAGGCTGGCGACGTCCCGGCCTAACACTGATCCAGAAGTGTAGAGTAGATATCCGAAGGGGAGGTGGCGATGGGCCTACAGGACCGGCCGATAGCTCCCCTTACACAATGCCAGTGAGGTAAGGTCACAAGAGCAATAAGACTCTCCCATGTGGCACCACGTGCCGTCTACGGCACGTGCGGGGCTACTGAGCGGCACCGGCTGCAGAAAGTCCTCAATTTTTGCGCACGTGTGATCAGCGGACGGCGCAAGCGAGACCATGTATCAGACGTGCTACGCCACTTACGGTGGATGACCGCTGACAGCCTGGTCTTATACTATAGAGTGTGTAGTGTGCGACGCATTGTCGAGTCCGGCCACCCGGATGAGATCGGGAGTACGTTGGTGAGCGCTTCTGACCATGGCCACGACACGCGGAACGCCGGTAGACTGCGGCTTCCGAGAATACGCACCGAGGCGGGTAGACGACAACTGGTGTACGGGGGCGTAGAGGCGTACAACCAGTTTTGCGCTTCTTACGATGGCAGTACTTCTTTTAAGCGAGCACTCAGAACTTATGTGCTACACAGTCATCGTGATCTTATGATACCCACAACCTACATACCAACTGTTCTAACGATGTGTACGAATGATCGTGTGCCTGTATTTTACCCATGTCTACTTGTTTTTATGCTAATTGACATGCGTTGATGAAAAGCCGCGAAGGCGGATTAACGTGAATAAATGAACTTGAACTTGAACTTGAACTCGGCAGGGTGACCGCATCCTGACTACATGAGGTGGCGCAGTGCCGTACTGCAGTTGGTTCCCTGGTGGGGTCCATCTGATGTGCAGCCAAGTTTAAGGGCACAGCTGCAATTAAGAGGGGCAATACCCTTGAGGCAAGAGTTCTTGCAGTTGTAGCAACAAACCCACCTTGGTGAAAAGTGTTTAGGTGCTGGGCTGTTCCTGAAAAAGGAGTGGGCTATCTTTGGTGCCAGTCCTGATGCAGTGATTCGGGACAGTGATCGTGGGGTCAGGGTAGTAGTTGAGGTGAAGTGCCCTGCATCACAGTCCA